TCGAACTCCAGTCACTGTGTCGCCTGCGCTATATATGTAGATCACTTGCAATGCACTCCTCATGATGGCAATGAAATGCCGCAACATGCCATTAAAAATATATTTCAAAGCCATGACGTTGCTCAGGCAGTTACATGCTGACTTGTGACAGCGAGCCTCGGTTTAAATCCAGGGTGACGTCATGTGAGATTAGCGGAGGAAATGGCGTAGTAGCAGGTTCTCCTGGAGTTTCCTAGGGTTCTTCCCAAACAGAATTCCACCAGTGGTCCATATTCGCGTACCACAGACCTGACCAGGCAGCATATTATAGCATCTCTCCCTCGGCAACCTTTCGGCTACAGGATATTTTTTTTTTTGGTTATATAGTCCCATTTTATTTGCAATCTGTACTAATACATTCAGCAAATTGTTATGATGTACTTTGACTTGAAGAAGAGAGCTCATTTGCACTCTTCTTTAGTGGGTAGGCTTGAGGCTTCGTGTGACTTTTGAGGGAGTGCTTACTATCTAGATCTTTAATCTAGAATTATTGGTATACTACTGCAATATAAATCTGGTGGCCAGATAATTTGGCAGATGTCTTCGCAGTCGCCTGAATTCCGGTGGCTAGGCTGTTTGGATGTGCTCTGAGCCGAGTATTGTATAGGCAGCTGTACCGGCGAATTTCTTCTCTCACTGTTGGTATTTGGAGATCTCTTCGGATGACTATGTTCGGTACGTACCAAGGTGCGTCCACTATCACGGATTGGATAATGAGGTAACTTTTGTTGTTTGAAAACACAGAAACTTAAATTGGCGCTAGTAAGGAGGTTGGCCCAAGTGTAGAAATATACACACACGTTGCAGAATGCAGGGTACAATCACGGCATAAAGAGAGCTAACGGATCTCTTGAAAATATGACAAAGTTCTGATATTTGGAAATGACAGTAACAAATCAAAACCTGATTCAGGAGGAAATTAAGAGAGGATGGAGTTCGGGGAATGCTTGCTACCATTCAGCCCAGAACCTTTTGTCTTCTTGTCTCCTGTCCAAAAACATAAAAATTAGAACATACAAAACGATAATTTTGTCTGCTGTTCTGTATGGGTGTAGAACTTGGTCTCTGACATTAAGGGAGGAACAAAGACTGAGGGTGTCTGAGAACAGAGTATTGAGGAGAATATTTGGACCGAACGGAGATGAAGTGACAGGAGGTTGGAGAAAACTGCATAATGAGGAGTTTCATAATTTGTACTCTTCTCCAAGTATAATTAGAACAATCAAATTAAGGACGATGAGGTGCGCAGGGTATGTAGCATGAATGGGAGAGAATGTAAATGTATGTCTGATATTAGTGGGAAAGACAGAAGGAACGAAACCACTAAGAAGACCAAGGCGCAGATAGGTGAACGGGTATTAAGAAAGACAGTATGGGGTGGTATGGGCGGTATTCATCTGGGTCCTTGTGAACACGGCATTGAACCTTCAAGTTCATTAAATGCTTGAAGTTCTTGAATAACTGCACAACTGGCGGCTTCTCAAGAAGAGCTCTTTTGCGCCAAATTGAAGGGCCAATTTCAAACGACAGTATTTGTGAAGGAACCATCCTATTCGAGAAGGCCGCGCCATAGCTCAAACGGTTAGTCGCTGGCTTTCCACCGCGGCGGCCCGGGTTCGATCCCGGGTCTGGCCAGGTGGGATTTGTGGTGGACAAAGTGGCGCTGGGGCGGGTTTTCTCCGAGTACTTCGGTTTCCTCTGCCAATCTTTATTCCACCAGATTCTCCATCATCATAATCACCCGGGGCAGGCTACAATAGGGCAATCAGTGGCCGCCGTGCCGAGTGGACCCAGTTGGACTCCACCCCCCACTAAGCGAATCCTATTCGAACTTCTAGAGCAGTGGGTCTTACTTCGCTTTAGCGCCAATCCGAAGGAAATTTCAAGGGTTAACAGAATGGTTGAGGTGATGAGGTTATGCATCACTACTTGCTACCAGCGAGTTTGAACCGCGATCTCTGGAGTTGTAAACTAACCTTCTGCTATTGACAGTTGAATCCTGGCAGCCGAAGACACGACCACCCTACAAGTAACACGCAATTAATGTAGCTCTTTCTGATCTGTAGTGTCTTCGCTCGCTCGAACTGAAGGCACGGATGTCTGTACTGTGCGCCTTCATTCTGTGTTTGTGTTGTTCTGTGTGTAGGTGGAGGCGTTGTGAAGGGCTGATCCCCGTCCAAGGTGTCCTACCGACAGTGTACAGCATCAAGAAACTGACAAAACGGTCAAGATTCAACAAAGAGCTGTAGAGCCACAACAACAACAACAACAACAACAACAACAACAACAACAGCAACAACAATAATAATGATAATAATAATTTAGAATTTGATTTATTTAATAAAACGAAGGAACGAATAAAAGGGTGACATATTGGAGAACCCGACTTGCGCTGACATTTTTGTAACAAAAAGCCTTTGAAGTAAATAACGCTCGTTGTAATGGCAAGACTCAAATTAAGCGGAATTGTACAAATGCGGATTCAACAGATGGTACTTGTCCGCAAGACATTTTTTATTTCATTCGGTAATTGTATGAAACAACCGCCTCTGTGGCCTACTGGTCAGAGTTCCTGGCTACAGGTCCAGAGGTCCAGGTTCTATTCCCGGCGCTACAAATTTTTCTGAGAAGTAATGGGTCTGGAACGGGGTTCACTCAGCCGTGGAAATTCGTTGTGATGACCACATAACACCCTCTATCCGCGAAAGTTGGCACTAACTTCGCCGACAAGCGGCGGTCACTCGGTCGTTATAGTTCACTGTTGGACTGAAAAGCACGGAGTTTGTTTTGTTTTATTGTATGAAACCTGACTTTTGTGGTTTGTTTAACAAAAGTGTGTTCACAGCGAAACAATTAGTTTGTGTGAACTACTACACTGCATGTATTTTCTTTACAACAAATGAAGCAGATATTCTGCTAGATATGAAGTTTAATTTGTAGAAGTTTGAGAAAAATATAAACAAAAGCAAAACCTTCAGGAACACATCTTCCTGAAAATTTTCTTTTTGTGAATATTGGGATTAAACGAACGCCAACAGAGAAGGAAAAATGTGTTCACAGAAGCACAGAAGAAAAATGTTTTCTAGCGTAAGGTGAGAATGAAATAATCCCATAAAGTAGCGTTTCTCAACCGCCGGCCCGCGGCCCGGTACCGGGCGCTCGTCTTGACAAAGAACAATTTACCGGGCCGCGGTCTCAAAAAGGTTGAGACCCATTGCCATGAAGCCACCGTCCAGCATTTGCGAATTCAGGCTATCTGACTGGAGGGCTCAGAACCAAACTAAAGCGCAGACACAAAGTAAATGTTAAAGGTATTGTGACATTCATTCTGAAATTTACTAAGAAGGACTTCAGTTCACTTCGTAACTTCCCTCTGAGTTGGCCAATGCTGTGTAATACATAAATGCAAGCAGATTCTTAAAGGATTCTGACGATTCTGTATAACACACAGAATTATTGGGTTTGGGGGCTTTCATCATCATCACTGGACAACCCCTGTCAGATTGACACAGCTATTTAATCACCGGAGACCAGGCTTATTCGGCGGCAGGTAACAAGAAAATATAAAAATTGTGATAAAATGTGCACATGCCTGGAACTAGGGTAGAAAAGGAGGTATAAATTTATGCTACAAACCTAACCAACAAAACCAAGTGCATGAGCACCAATGCAAAGAAATGGGGGGGGGGAAATGTTATGTTATAATTTTGTACTGCTTTCCGGTATTATAGAAATTAAGATGATTGATAAAGGCACCTTCTCACGCTGGTTCCTCGCTCGTGGATTTTTTGTACCCTGAAGCTTGTGGCGATACGTTCCTCCGAAACGTCGGTTCACATAAGATCTACATGGTGCCACATCCCAGAAGACGACTTTCTTCATAGTCTCCACCGTGAAAACCTCAAATCTTACATACTTGTTCGCTGTTTAATTGGTTAAATTCAGTCGCGTTTTGAACCCTAAGGAAAAATGCACACAAAGTTTTGACGGAAAACCTGAAAGGAAGAGGACACTAGGGAAGACCAAGCACGTAGAAGGAAGGATGATACTGAAACAAATCTTATAGAAATAATATGGAATATTTTGGACTGTATTTAACTAGCTCAGGATAGGAACCAGTGGCGGTTTTTGAAATCACGGTAATTAAGTTCCTGGCTCTATAAAATATTGGCAATTTTTTTAGTAGCTGAGAAACTATTAACTTTTCAAGGATTTAGCTTCACGGATTCATCTAGATCACACCTAGAAACTAGTTAATGAGTACACACTGACTCAGATTTTACACAAGTTTTCTACATGCCGCCACTGCTGGCAGAATCTGAGACTAATGTCATCAGAAGACAGGACGATAGGTCAGTAACACATCGGATAGGATGAAGGAGGAAGAGGTAGTGGCCTAGTTAGTGGTCCCAACAACTGCATGGAGGGACTAGAAAAATGATGAAAAATACAGTCAAGACGGTCTGTGTTCCAGTCGAGATTCGAACCGGACACCGCCAAGTAAACGTTAGAAATGTCACCGTTTGAAGCTTGTATTGCATACTGTCACGAAGCCTAACCTTGAATCAGGTTTTCCTGTTTCTAACGGATCAAACACTACTGCGTGAAGGCGGCGTTCGTGACTGTTTTCCACGAAAACAAACCCGAATTCCTACATTCTTCAGGATGACCTATATCTTCGTATGTACTTTACACCGTTTATGTTCTAAAGGCTCAAGCCTAACACTGTTAGTAAACAAATTCCTATCTTAAGTGAAAGGCATTGCACTGAACCCTCAAATCCTACTTCACCTCCTCCGTGCAGTTTAGATTTAGTTAGGGTGCGTCAAAGACGAGGCGGTTAAACTGCAGCGTGAAACCATACGCATGCGTTAACCCCTCCGTGATGGGAGTTCCCCTCCCCTACGTAGTGGTTATGCCGGGCTCGGCACAAGTACGGACAGTTAGTCGTGTAGAAACGTTTGAACGTGTGGGCACGGAATTCCCGCTGCCGATGGTTGCTGTTAAGCATAAAACAAGAACTGTGAACTGTTATATATTTATCTTTGAGAAATAATAAACTTTGTGTTGTTTTCAATTATATTATCGGGTATAACCTGTCCTATTTACTAATTCAATTCACAAAAGCAATATTCAGTATTAAGATAATTGTAGTTGAAATACGTCACTTATATTTCAATTTGCTGATACTGAAACTGTTCATAATCATCTTTGTGTTCTCCGTTTTAGAGTTGTACATTTGACGACACTGAGGTGGTATATTTCTGTAACTAACTAGTAAGAACATCGAATGAATGCTTGACTGAAGTTTCTGCAATAAGTCTGTAGGAAGGTATTCTTCAATTGATAACCAATATTGAATGAAATATTGTTAAGTTTTAACGTATCCAGCCTGTTTCTGCTGCTGCGAAAGCATAACGAACAGTTTGTAACAATTGCAATTTATTTTGTGTGAATATTAGAACCACGTGTGTTGGTATATAATTTTTTTCGCAGACTTCGGACAAACTCGATTAACTTCGTTGACAATGGCGGTAGGGAAAGCGGAATCTAGAAATGGCCACGAGTTGGCACCACTGAACGCGCGAAACAATGGAACTGCGGGACCCGGCGTTACGATTGTTGTGACACCATCGCCACAAGGAGGCGGATCTCACAGGAATAGCGTCGTCACGGGCGACATCGACGTCGACGGAGATCGGGCAGCATGGAGCAACAAGATGCAGTTCTTCCTGAGTATCATTGGATATTCAGTTGGACTGGGGAATATTTGGAGGTTTCCTTACCTTTGCCAGCAGAACGGGGGCGGTGAGTGACACAAATCTTACTATCAGTACAGTGATAAAGAGAACAAGACTTTTCAATATGCGTTCCTTCACATTTCCATGCCATTGGTTTTAATGTTCTGTGGTTGTTAATACATATGCAAATCTGTTATTTCAGAAACAATCCCACTGTAAACCACACTGCACGAAAACATTTGTTGTCATTAAGAGTTTTTTCTTGAATATTCACCGAGTCTGAGGTTACGACCGACGGTGAGTGGGTCAGTCTTCCTTGGAATAAAGCACCCACGTGGCGTTTATGACCAAGGTTTTATTACTTTCAGATAGTTGTGTGTTTGTTGATGTGGGGCTCCCTCTCTGACGAGAGGACGGTCCTCGTCAGAGACATCAACCCACATCTTTCGTTGACAATTGCTGCTGGTGCTCGCCAGCGCAGTCATTCTCGGGTCCGAGTCCCGTGGGACTCGCGACCGTATCTTGCCGTCTTAGATTCGAGGATTCCCTTTTCGTAGCCTCCTGCGTCTCCCAGGGTAGCCCTGGAGGTATATGACCCCGCCTCCACGCGAGAGGAAGAAGTCTCAAATAAAACCTCAAAATATAAATAACCTTTTTGTTTTCTGAAATGTACCATATTTTCTGCTAGCCACACCTGACAAAATCGATAGGCTTGTAATTGACCGATGTGAACACACATTAAAATTAAATTAACAGAGAATCGTTTAAATGAGCCAGAGTTTTCGCTGTCTGCACTTGTTTTGGTCATCTCTCGAGCGTGCGATAACTTAGTTCTATAAAACTGTCCAGAGGAAGTGAGGTTAAAGGTTCTGACGGAGATGAATGTTCAGACTAGTATATTCTGGAATGTGGTACCTTGAAGTCTGCTCCCTCCCCTCCGACCCCCGAAACGTTGGTTCGGTTCTACCCTACACATCACATCCCACAGTTTAAATAGTTGATTAGGATTGCCAAATTTTTAAGCTAATAATGCCCTTTAGTCGTACTGTAGCTCAGGTGGTTAGGCTCTGGTTCTCGCTGGGGAACCCCGGCTTCAACCCAGGTTACACTCCGGGTTGTCCATGTGCTAATTCTTCCACTACTGGTCACAGTAGCAGCGCGGTCTAAGGCATGAACTGTCTTCGGACACTGATATCATGGGTTCGAATCCCACTAAAGGCATGAATGTTTGGTGTGTGAATGCTTTTATTCTGTGTTTGTGTTGTCCTTTATGTAGGCAGAGGCCTTGCGACGAGCTGATCACTCGCCCAAGGAGTCCTACCCTATGTGAAAAAGGATTCATTCATTCATCTGTAATCTGTCAAGACGACAGGTCCACAGTCTCTTCCAAAGCAGTTCCTCCACTTCATGCGATCTAGAAGTTTTCCCCTTCAAATGAAAATATCCTCTTCTGTCCCCAAGGTCATCCAGCATCTTCTTACGTCTTCTTCCTCGTCTTCTGGTCACTTCTGTCCCCCCCCCTCTATCTTTCCTTCAGTAACTTCTTTTAGAAGGCAGTTACTGCGTAAGATATGACCAATCCAATTAGCCTTCCGTTTTCTTATTTCGTGTAGGACATTCCTCTGCTCACTGACTCTAAATAACACTTCTTCATTTCTCACATAATCGGTCCAACTGATCTTCTCCATCCTTCTCCAACACCACATTTCGAAGCTTTCCATGTGTTTCTGATCTACTGCCCTAAGTGTCCAAGTTTCAGCCCCATACAAATCGATGCTCCAAGTGTAGCATTTCACTAGTTTCTTTCTCAAATTTAAGTCCAGTTTGCTGGTAAAAAGATTATTCTTCTTGCTAAATGCAGCTGAAAAAGGATTACGGGAACTGAATAAGAGGCCAGGGCCCTGAATGGTCTGCAAGAGCCATTGAAAAAAAAAAGTCGTTCCGCTGCTACTCGATTCTCATTTTTCACCGCCCTCTGAATTGTGCGATATTGTTAACCAAGCAGTACAGTATCACATGAGGGCTTCATCTCTGCTCCGACACAGGTCAGAGAGAAGTGCGTAAGTCTGCATAGTAGAGCAATGTTTATGTTCAAAATTATTTGCTTTCTGATTATAACATTTATGAAAGTTTCACTTCATGATTTTTTAGCGCGTAAGCAAGAGAAATTTTCAAGTATGAACTATTTTCTTCTTCATCACTGTCTGCGCGTATGCAACAACCCGAGAAAGTCAACGAATTCCTATTAAACTTGGTACTGATCTCACTGAAATTTGTCGACAAGGAGTGTTCCCCCCATTTCCAATTACACAGAAATTGCGGGCATTACATGAAGACCAACGCGTGCTTCTCTGCTCATCTGAAACGCAAATCACTACAGATTATCGGCAGTTTTCTTTTCGAAAAAATGCAGAGGAACTGTATCACATTCTGTGACTAGAATATTCTTCCTGTTACCCTTACAGTTTTCGATTGATTGAACGTGTCGCAATTGCTACATTTGTTAGTTCCTTCATGCTAACTGCCTTTCGGGATTAAACCGAATGCCGTGTGATTTTAAATTTCGTACAGCAAGTGAAGACAACAGCAGAAGCACAAACAAATCAAATGGTAAAGGCACTAGATAGGATAGCTGATCACAGTGGTCACGTGATCTAAGGCATGAATTATCTTCCATCGCTCAAAACACTGTGATCGTGAATTCGAATCCCACTCAAGGCATGGATATCTGTGTGGGCGTTTATTCTGTGTTTGTGCTGTCCTTTGTGCCTTGCAACGGGCTGATCTCCCCTACAAGGGGTCCTACAGACTGTATAAAAGGTTCAAGAAACTGAAAAAGCAGCCAAGGCCCAACAGAGGGCTGTAGAGCTATAGATGCAGAGATGAAGGCACTAGCCCGCTTAACCGAGCTTACTGCAGTGATGCATGTTACTGGATATTGGAAGAATACGCAGTTTGCTTGCTGTAATTTCCTGACTCGCTAGTCCTGCATTTTGCTTGAGGAACTGAAGTAAACCACGAAAATCCTCAAACTGAATGCCAGGTCTCCAGGCAGAGATTCGAACCTGGGACGTTCCGTTTCGTTGTTACCACATTTGTAAAGAAGCGTATGGCTGAGAAAAACATAACATTACTTTGTGCTCCAATTTAATTGTGTAGCAACATTATCTTGAATCAGGGGCAAGCATTTGTCTCCATTTCAGTGACAGTGGCGATGTCCGTGGTACTGTCGATAAGTAATTTCTTTTTTATTGCTAGTTGGGTGGGACTAAGTCCCTTGTACTGCGGCCACTTCTGGCCTATTGTACCACCCTCAGATTATAGGTGAGGGTGTTTGTGGAGCAATTGGTGGAATGAAGATTGGCAGGAGAAACCGAAGTACTCGGAGAAAACCTGCCCCAACGCCGCTTTGTCCACCACAAATCCCACTTGACCAGACTCGGGATCGAACCCGGGCCACGGTGGGAAGCCAGCGAGTAACCGCTTGAGCTATGGCGCGGCCTTAAATAATTCCTAGGAACAATCCTTCTTCTTCTTCTTCTTCTTCTTCTTGGAGCACAGGGCATCCGTGAAACACTTCTTTTCACTTCAGTTTCATAATTTTAGACAGTTGGTGGGACTCTTTGGACGGAGAAACAACCCGTCGCAAGGCCACTACCTAACACAGACAGACATCCATGCCTTGAGTGGGATTCGAAGAGATGATCCAAGCGTTCGAGCGAGCGAAGACATTTCATGCCTTAGACCGCGCAGTCACTGTGATCGGCATCCTCTTGCTAGAGCGTAAATGAAAGGATTATAGACTTATTTCAAAACAAAGAAAGTGTAGAATTACAAACAATAACATACATTTACTTAGTGATAACTACCGGCACGCATTCTTGCGTCACAGTTTTACACCAAGGCTCTGACGAAGCGAAACAAACTGTTGAAAACGCTGTGTGTATCAGCTGCTGCCGAACGCAAGGATGTGATGGGAAATGAATGTAGGAGCATAAGCACCCTTTCGCACTGTTTGCAAAATAGGACTGGTAATGGTGACTCTATTTAGCGCGAGAAGGGAATATACCAACAAAGTAAGTTCTGAAACAATTGTAGGCAGATCATTAAAACATGCAGAGGCATTCCGAGTGCAGAAATGCTGTGGTGTGTATGTTTGCAATAATGTGTTTGAATATCCGCGACAGTGGAGGCTTCGTCATCATATCAGTGACGTAGTCAATCATTAAGTCCCTGGATTCTGTTCTCAACAAACGATTGGGATCAAAATCGCCATACGCGACATCTTGTTGAACTGTCTAGTCAAGGTATGACGTGCCCTCAGAGATGTTTTAGACTAAGCCATTCGTGAAAAGTTTTTTTTCTCGCAAATTTGTAAAGCGAAATTATGAAAGCAAGATGAAAGGTTTGCCAACAGTACAAAATATTTGCCACTCCAAAATTTCTGCGAAGAAATGTATGATTCATGGCCAGGGCCTGTAGCACGAAAGGGGGAAAAGAGGAATGTATATAGGATGATGATGGGAGAGCCAGAAAGAAAGCGACCACTAAGAAGACCAAGACGTAGGTGGGTGAATGATATTAGAATGGATCTTACAGATAAAGCATGGGGCGGTGTGAACTGAATTGATCTGACTCACGATAGAGACTAGTAGAGGGCTCTTGTGATCACGGTAGTGAACCTTTGTGTTCCATAAAATGCCGAGTTCTTAAGTAGCTGCACAACTGTCGGTTTTCTCAAGAAGGGCTCAACTCCATGAAATTGGTATATATGATCCAAGGTTCTTATATCGGTAAAGGTAAAATTGTTCCAGTGCCTAAATATACCATGAAGGCGTATGGGGAATGGTTGTATAGACCCAGATTTTCTTGACCTCGGAACTAGTTGGAAGTGAGTGGTGAGCTTCACACCCCGGCCGGTTTAGCTCCGGGGAAACAGCAGCCGGTACCCACCGGACAGGAGGCTGGATGGGCCTCAGAGCCGGTCTGCACAACGTGGAGAAGAAAATTTGTTCACCCTACCGGGACTCGACTTCTGGCCCCTCGGGCGTCACGCCCGTAACCCGT